TATAAATATATTGAATATGGTAAATATTATTCACCTTCACTTTTCTTTGGCGTCGTAATGATCAGACCACGATTTTGAGCCTATATTTCGGACCAATCATAGGATGTAAATATAAGTCATTCAGGCCGTTTAGGCAGTAGAATCTCGGGCTAGCTGCCGCTTTTTTCAACGCAGTATACCAACAAAGTTCTGTTCATTATCGTCTTATTTTTTATTGTTTTTATGCGGTTCCTCTACACACCCTCGCACTGGTTTGCAACTTATTAAATTCTTGGCAAATTATTGTGATGTCTCTCTTCTTTCCTCTGGTCAGTTTGGGTGACTATTTATCATATCACTTTAGTGATAGTCAAATTCCTACGGTACAACTATCAGCCCTTGATCATCTTGTGTCAGTTAGGCGGACTACAACTTTTGCTCAAAGTTTTTCTACTCATTATTTGAGTGGCATATCTGGATTTCGAGTCCCTTCTGGCTGAAATCTAGATCAAAATTTATTTTAATACGGATGGGCAGAGCACAAACCGTGGATAGGTTATCATTTCGCCACAATAATTAGCAGTAGACACTTTTACTATTCTCACTAAATAGGATTACTGTGTTGAATCAATAATCATTGGTTTTGAATTATTATGTTAATATTGATACACATTTATAGCTGAAAAATTTCATTTTGTTTTTTTCCTGAAATCCCTTCACCTCTGATACTCTGAAGCTACTTGGTTGCCTCTAAAATATTTTTTCCCATTTTTTAAGACGGGTAGGACATCTTTGGCACTTGCAGTCGAGCCCAAAACCAGCCAGTTGTTCTGGCTCACGGCTAGCCCGATCAGTCTCTCGCCTTGGCCCACTTTTTCGGAGAACACTTTTTATGCTGGTGGCACCGGCTCCGATAACAAGGCGGAATTTTCGAGTGCGTCCTCTATTTCCTCTTTGCCTTTTCTGCCTACCGACTGGGATTATGGCGATCAAACCACACCGAATGAAATCGTTGGAAGAGTAAGAGAAAAGAAGCTAGCATCTATGAGGTCGACTGAGGCAGGCCGAACATTGTCAAATGGAGCGGAGGTTGAAGTTGAAGATGATGACTTTGATAATGATTTCGAGACTGAGCAAGAGGATGAAGAGGCAGAAGAAGAGGGCGATGATCAGATTTGGAGGGAGGAAGAGATGTGGAGGGACTATCGGATTGAATCATCCGCCCTTGACGGGTCCGGTCGACGTGTGCTCGTGCCTTCCGTTTCACTTGGCCGTCGACCATGCTGTCTTACTTATGCCATTCACCTGTCCCGGATATACTGGATAGACGAGATAGACAACAAGATTGAGTGGATCCAGGTTAGGCTTCACTTTTAATAATTTTATCCCTCTTTATCTATACAGAGCTCTACGCTCTCTGGAACTAGCTTTTTTATCCAATGTACCTTTTTACGTGTGCATCTGAGGCGAAATGTGTGCTCAGATGCACACATGTGTCCCGAAGGCTACTAATCAGGATTTAGCC